AGCTCCACATCAAGCAGCTTGGTGTTATTGACTGGCGCAGTCGGCACACAGCTGATCTGGAGAGGGTGCACGGTGATATTGGGGCGCCCATGCGTCTTGCACTCCCATACCGGCAACGTGAGCCTGCCCACCACGCCGAGCGGCCCATAAAACACAGCTGCCTGGCTGCCCGTCTTGTGCAACTCACAGCAGCTGCCATTTTCTGCTGCTAAGTGGCAAGGAAGCGGCTCCATGCTGGCCAGCTGGGCTTGCCGCTGCTGGAGCTGCTGCTGGCGCTCCTGCCGCTGCTGCGCCGCCCGGCCCGGCAGAGAGGCCAAGAAGGCATCCACGTCCGCTCCGAGCCGAGCCTCCCAGTGATCACGTTTGCGTCCTTGCCGGTCGCCCCAGCCTAAGAAGCCGCTGGGTGCTCGCTCATCCTCGTTGTCATCCCTCTCACCCCGCCGCCTGGCCTGCCCTGGCACATTGAAGGGAGCTTGTTGTCCTGGTCTACTTGCACGGGATCTTTTTGGCTGTGGCCCGTCTAGAGGCCTGGGGGCCGTGGTCTTGCTAACCACCTTCACCCTAAAGTGGTGGCTCATGTCCTAGAAAGCATATTACGGTTGCTGGGATGCCAACAGAACAAACGGGAGGGAGAATGATGCATGATTGAGGATGATGTCCCCAATGACCCTCCAGGTGGGGGGCCATCATGCCCATCATGGGGCACATCCTTACCGGGAGGCCTACCTGCGCCATCACCCATCCAACGATATTCTTGCACTGCAGCATCACCCATCCGACGATATTCTTGCACTCCACGTCATCACCCATTCAACTCAACGAAATTCTTGCACTGTGTATTTCACCGCCACACTCAACACGCTATCAAAATGTCCTCGTGAAGGCTTCTTTGCGTGCTTTCTTGTTTCTCCACTCTGCTGGTGTGTACACATGAATGACCACGGCAGCAGGAAGCGGGTTGAGGCAACGCGCAGAGGTCACGCTGATGCGGCCGGATCACTGGAGGGATCGGTGAACTCAGCGGCTTGCCAACGCGGGCTCAGCATCCTGGCAGGCCCAGGTCAGGCGATGAAGATCTGCGGCGGCATCTGCCTCACGCTGCGGACGAGCGGGCGGAACTCCATGTGGGGCAGGATGTCCCGCTCTGCACACGTGGCGAGTCAGCACACAACCGTTATGGCACCAGCCACTCAGCCCGCTGCCCCGGCGGCGCCCTGGCTGCAGCCCATGATTTGGGCGGGCAGGCAGGCAGCTGGCCCAGGCAGGCAGGCAGGTCGCACCTATGTCGATGCCTGGCGCAACCTCCACAAGCTCCAGCACGCAGGCACTGGCGCCAGCGCCAGGCTGCTGCTGGGCCAGCCGGAACACCGCCCTTTCAGTAATATACAGCACGGTTCGCCCGTTGGCTGCAGCCCGCCAGGGCGGTGCAGGACGGTGCAGGGCAGGGGCGGGCATGGTCGGTGATTGGGCCCCATTCCAGCGAAGCGGGGCGGCGGCAGGCGCTGGCACGCGGCAGCAGCCAAGGCCGCACCTGACGCCCCCGCGAATGTCTTCTCGTGCACAGCGCGCCGGAACTTCTGCAGGCTGCCTTCCTGCCGGATGGCCAGCCGCCCGGCCTCCACAGCCACCTGCCAAGATGCAAGGAAAAGCAGCGGGAGCACTGTCTTCGGCAGCGGCGCCTGGCGGTTGGCGTCAGCCCATGTCTTCGGCAGCACGACAGCAAAACACGCCGAGCCAACCGAGCCACCCACCTTGAGCCCGCTGCTGGTGAAGGTGCCCACAAACAGCACCTTCTTGGCTGTCTGCGAGATGTCGATGAAACCGCCGCAGCCGGGCATGCGCCCGTTGCCAAAGTTGCTCACATTCACGCTGCCCGTGGGGTCCACCTGCATTTTGTGGTGATGCACAGCGCCGGCAGGAAAGCGCACTGATCAGAGCAGCAGGGCAGCGAGGAGATGACGGCTCCGGTGCGCATCCACCGCACTGCACGAAGCGTATAAAGCCCCCAGGCCAGCCTCTGCCAGCCCCTTACCTCTGCCAGCCCTAGGCACGCGACATCCACACCGCTGCCGTTGTAAAAGTCGATCATGGAGGCGGTGGGCACGAGGCAGGCGGGGTTGTGGGAGGAGCCAAAGCGCAGGCCGCCGCCAGGGATGCCGCCAAACGCCCCCGCCTGTGCCAGCAGCAGGTGGCAGGGGAGGTCACTACACCAAAGCACACGTGCAATGCAGCGTGGTCCTTTCGGCCTGGATGAAGGCAGTCCACGCAGCCCCTTGCAGCCTCTTGCAGCGCTTGAGGCAGGTGGCCCCTGGTTGCACCAGCCACCCAGGAGCCAGCAGGAGCGGAGGACCTCCCTTTCTCACCTCTGTGGATAGGGTGACCGATGCTGCATACGGGTTCTGAGCCGCTCCATGCGTGGCTACCATCACCGCCACCCCCTGCGTCCAGGCGGGCAGCATGGCACCAAGCAAGCGCGCCGTGTGGCCAAGGGCCCAGCAGAGGAGAACAGCCCTCAGCTGCTCTGCGTGTGCTGCAGTGCCGCCCACGGGCAACCGCAGGCAATGGCACAGCGGATACAACCCAAGTGTCATCCACCGCAGCACGATTCCCAGCGGCAGCCACAGGACCAGCCACAGGACCAGCGTACCTCTGGCATGCCCACTCCCAGGTTCACTATGCAATTGGGCTGGTCTATCTCAAGCATGGCCCTGCGGCAGGCAGGCAGCGGGCAGAGCAGGCGGGGATGCAGGAGGTCGCGGCGCAGAGCAGCCAGAGGCAGTGAGCACCGCTGCCAGCATGGCTGCATGAATGCGCTGGCAGCTTGCGGAGGATGCATGGCAAGCGCCGACCCAGCATGAGCCCACCTGTGCGCGATGATGCGCCGCTCATCCAGCGGCAGCGGCAGGATGCTGTGCAGCGGGGTGCGGATCTCGCCGCTGCACACCAGAAAGGTGCGCAGTGCGGCACACACGCACAGCAGCCCCCGTTGCCGGCTCAGACAGCCGAGTCAACAGTTCAGCTGCCATTGTGGCACAGCGCGCCGGCGGCGGCATGGCGCAGCCAGCAAGACAGGCAGCAGCGAGGGCGGCGGCGCAGAAACAAGAGCATGGAGCCTCGCCTGAGGCTGCCATCGTAATGAGGGTCCCGAAACGACTGCCAGTGCAGCTCCGGGGGCGCCACAACCACCCTGGCGTGGGGGCAGGCGGGGTGGGGGCGGTGTGAGAGGCGGCCCCGGTGGAGAGAAGTGCAGGCGGCTGGGTCTAGCTAACCTGTCCACTATGGCGCCCGGCAGATGCAAGTCCTTTGGGTGCAACGTGCCGCGGTCCCCCCCCTGGTGAACCTGAAGGCCCAGCGAGCAGCAGGCGTGGCCAATGGCTTGGTGTTGGGGATGGGTGGGTCCAATTGCACCACTTGGGTGGTGCGGTTGGTCAAACCCAAACCAGCGAAACAGTCCGCCGGACAGCCGCCCGCACGTGCACATGCACACGCCACAGCAGCCACACCTGCACGATGACCAGGCCGCCGCCGTTGTGCGCCGCCAGCGCCTGGTTGAGCTGGTCGGTGAACAGTGCCTCGTGCTCAAACGACACGTTGCCGTCCAGGTCGGCGGTGCTGCCTCGCAGCAGCGCCACCGAAATCCTGTCGGGGGCCTGGGGTGCAGGGCGGGAGGGGAGGCGAGCAGGTAGGTGGGGAGAGAGGCTGGGAGGCAGGCTGGGAGGCAGCGCGTAAGTTGGGAGGAAAGAAGAACTTGTGCAGAATAGGATGGCAGGAGAGGAGCCCGCCGGCGTGCCCTGGACAGCTGATACTGAAACCCCATCCGACACCAGGCTGGTACTGCACCGTGCGGTACCTGGTACCACAGCAGTTCCCGGCCGCCCAGGTTCAGCACGTGAACAATGTCTCGAGTCGTCACGCTATTCAGCTTGCCGCCCTGCATGGCACCGGGAAGCGGGCCGCCGGGGCTGGTGTGCTGGCGCCTTCAGGCTCGTCGCCCCAACGGCCTGGCCGGGCCCGCGCGCCCAGTCCTGCCATGCCAAGTGCTTCCGCCTGCCTCAGAACCCACCCCACCTTTTCGCGCGGATCCACAAACGTGCCCAGGCCGACATGGGTGACGGGTCCCGCCCGCTTGGCCGCCACGTCTCGAATCATGTGAGACACCACCCCCAGCGGAAGATTGTACGCCTGCACCTTGTTCTCCCGCACCAGCCTGCACCACCAGCCAGGCAGGCAGCAGGCAGGCGGCGCCAGGCAAGTCGGGCAGTTGCCAGGCAGGAACAGAGGCTGGGCCGGGAAGCCGAGCGGAGCAACATTACGCCCCACTGTCCCGCCCGAGGGCAGGAGGCAGCCAGAAAGGGCATGGTGCGATTAACATCGGAGAGAGGCTCCGATGTGCCTCCAGCAGAGCAGGCAAAGCATGTGTCGGCCAGCGCCTCTGCGCCCCCTCACTTGAGGAAGCCGGGGGCGGTGCCAGTCCACCCGTAGATCAGCCGATCCACCAGGCCCTCAACCGCCAGCTGGTCGAGGCCTGCGGCAGTTGGGCAGGCAGCGCTCTGGCGGCTGTCGTCACATCACAGCTAGGTCCCCAGCAGCGACTGCTCCACAGAGCAGCGGCAGCAGCGGCACCTGCGGGTGACACGGCAGGCGGTCGCCAGCTGGCCCAGCCCAGGACCCAGCCCCGCACCTCGGCCCTTGGAGTTGCCGGCTGAGGCGGCGTAAATGAGGCCTAGGCCGCGGGGGTGGCCCGTGGCCTCGTACTGCCGCCTGCAACACATCACGCGAGGCACTGATGGCTGCTGCTGCTGGTTCAAACAACGTATGAAAAGGGTGCGCTCGAATCGCAGGGGAGGCAACATCCTGGCAGCATGGCATCGGTGGTGTGGCATTGAGCCGAGATGCTATGCAGGCCCCGCACCTGACGGCGTTCAGCAGCGCCTCGGGGCATGAGGTGCCGACAAAGCCGGCGGGCGTGAGCCAGACGCCGTCCGGGATGAGCGCCGCCGCCTCCTCCGCGCTGACCACCTTGCTGGCATCCTGCACCGAGGTGTTGTCGGCGGCCTTGCACCAGGCAGCAGCCAGCGGGCCACCCAGCTCCGAGGCAGCGGCGGTAGCGGGGCGGCAGACCAGGTGGCGGCGCAGCTGCTGGAGGCGGTACGCGGCGCGGGGGTCGTCCCGCTCATCGGCGGTCGATGTCATGGCCCGCATGCCAATGAACTGGGGGGGCCAGAGCTGCTCAGCGGCTCACTGAGCGGAAAGCAACGAACAGTCGGCAGACACAAGTGGCACTCCGGCAGGGGGGTGCACCTTCTGCGACCTTTGTCCAGGGATGAGCGCCAGCAGGAGTAGGGTTGGTCTGAGCTTCTTCCGCCAATGACGTGGCTTGGCGCCAAAACTCTCCTCAAATGAGCACATCTTGCACACTTGCAGAGCAGCCCAATCCTGGAAAGAAGCTGCAATCTATCTCCAGATGGCGCTGCAGGTCTTTCAACACGGGATGGCTGTGCCGCAACGCGGGTTGGCTGCGGGCAGCCCCCGCAGGGTCCCGGTACCGTTGCACGACTCCTGCGCACTCGTGGTGAGTATTCCGGAATCGGGCTGTTGGGGTGCGGGGTGCAGGGAGCCGTAAGGCTCCGGCGACTGGGCCGGCGGCGGCGCTCCTACAGGCGGCGGCACACAGCACAGTCAGCGATCTCGAGTGTGCACATGTGCTCATCCTCCTGGCTCAAACAGCAAGCACCCAAACCTCCACTGCATTCAGGCATACCGCCGTCCGCCCGCCTGCCGCGGCCTGTGCTGCCGCGCCGCCGCCGCCCAGCACAAGCTGCCGTCGGCGTGGGTGGCGCAATGCCTGGAGCGTGCCCAGCGCTCGGTTGTGACCATTGAGGGCAAGCACTACATCCCCCTGGCAGAGGTGCGGGCTGCCATCAGCCAGCCCGATGAATCTAATACTGCTAGGGTGAATGCGCCGGAGGGTTTGCTGCCGGCCAGCCAGGCAAAGCCGTGCTGTCTCACACGTCTTGTTGATCCTGCTGCAGGCTCAGTGCTGGTTTGAGGCGGGGGCGCACGAGGCGGAAGAGGAGCAGCACGCCAAGATGGATGGTAAGGGGCTGCACCTCCTGCTCCTCTCCTCTGCCGTGCCGTCTGCGAGCCAGCATGGCCGATGCCCGATGCCCATCTGCCTCTCACCCTCCTCCCCTGATCGTGCAGCTGTGATGGCTGAGCGGGGCAGGATGCAGGGGGCAATGGCCCACTTGGCGGAGGAGTCACAGAGGGAGCACAATGTGCGCTGCTGCCTATGGCAATTTCCTTTTCCTGTTGCATGCCTTCCGTTGGTGGCGTGCCCACTCGACTCCCGCCCGCTGCTGCTGCAGGAGCACGAGCAGGCCATGCACAGGCTGCTCGACTATGCTCTGGCACTGGAGCAGGAGGTACGCTCGGCTGGCTGGCTGTGACCCTGGGGGGTGGTGGGAGCCGGGGGATGCTGCCCAGTTGGCCCCCGCCATCTTCGGCCTCCTGCCTGCTGTGTGCCCCGCCTGCGCCCTGCCAACAGATGCCCTCCCACCACCAGCCGCCGATTTAAGATCCACACCCCACACGCCTTCCTTCCCTCCCTGGCCTGTGGCGCCGCAGGTGGAGCGCTCCAGGGCGGTGCTGGGCGAGGCGGCGCACGAGGCGGCGCACGCGGCTGAGGAGCGGCTGACTGCGCAGTACCAGCAGCTGCTGCTGGATTATGAGCACGAGCATGAGGCGGAGCAGGAGGCGGTGATGGTGAGCAGGATTGCACATCCTCCCAAGAGGGGTCTCCAGAACGCAGATGCTGCGCTGGTGCTGCTCGATGCCAGGCTGCAATGCCAAGTGCAGCCCAGATGGATGAGAGAGTCGCTTCGGGAGTGCCGTTGTGCGCATGATCCTGCCTGCCCTGCGCTGCATGCCTGCAGGCCAGCATGCGCGGGCAGGTGGAGCACCTGAAGACGGCGCTGCATGCGGCGCACGAGGCCAAGAAACAGTGGCGCGAGCGCGCGCTGCAGGTGGGCTGCGGAGCGGCGTGCTGCCTTGAGCTGCTTGCTGGGCCTCCCTTGGGCCTCCGTAGCTTTGCTGTGCCTCGCACGCCAGCCCGGGAAGGGAGAGGAGCACACTGGCGGTTCCCCAGCCTGCATGCCGGCGTGCGTCGCCTCCCATCCTCATCAGCCAACCCAGCGCCCTCCCGCTGTGCTGCCGCAGGTGGAGCAGCAGTTTGTGCAGCTGCGCGGCCTGATCGAGAGCAGCCTTCAGCAGGCCAGCGACAGCGCCTTCCGCCGGCAGCAGGCGCGGGAGCGGCAGCCGCCGGCGCCGGCGCACCCCAGCCCTCGCATCCGCAGCTGCGATGAGGTGGCGCCGGCGGACGCTGACGTGGCGGTGCAGGCCCACCCGCGCCTCACCTCGGCGGTGGAGGCGGGGCCGCACAAGTTGGGCGTCAAGAGCAAGAAGCACCTGCGGGAGCTGATCTGAAGGAGGGAGGAGCACAGGCAGGGTGGCATGTGGCGGGCGCCTTCATAACTATTGAGGGCGTGTCGAGACAAAGAAGCGCAAAGACATCGCTTTATTCATCTTTTTTGCTTGCATGCGTGTTGTTCATCAACTTTTGCACTTTGATACATCAATCCATTATAGTCAATATCACCCTGCACCTCCTGCCGGACAACTGCGCCAAGCTGCCCGTAATGAACCGTCAGCAGTGCGACCGGATGTGCGCCAGCCAATATGAGCTGAAGCTCAATTATCTACTTTTACATACACTCACTATGGCTGAAGGCCAGGCTGTGTGGATGCACCATTCACAGCATCAAGGGGAGCAGGGCGGCCAACCCCGCCACAGTAGTACTGGCGTACCGCCACCCGGGCCGTGCGGAACCAGGGAGCCTAGTGGTTTTGCTGCGTGTTCCAGTCTGCATGATGCTGGGCATGCACGCCAAGGCCAGGGGGCAGCAGGGCTGCAGCCCGGTGGTGGCCCCGTCAGCCTCCCTGCGGGCCCTTGGACGGGTGAGCACGCCTCCAAGGCTGGGGCTCGGCTGCTGCATGAGCGTCCAAGGTTGAGGGGCGGCCACTGGGCAGCCTGCCAACACGCGCGGCTCGAGAGGCCCCACCGCCGGCGGCTGTTGCCAGATCTCCCATGTGCAGGCGTACCCTGGCGCGCGCATCCATGGCACGCAGCGCCGACCGCGCCCAGCAGCCGCCCGCCCCGACGCCGACGCCAGCCCCGCCAATGGCGCCCGGCTCCCTTCCCCGCCGCCGCCCTCGCTGGCTCAGTGCCTGGCCGGCGCCAGCGGGCGGGCTCGGATCATCAACGGTCAGCAGTACATCCCTCTGTCTGAGGCCCAGCGCTTCTTCGAGGCAGGCCTGCATGCCAACAGCGTGGCGGCCGGCGCTATCGAGCGCCTGTCTCTGAACGAGCGCCGCGCCGACGGTGCGCCCAGTGGCCCGGCCCCTCCGACCGCACACACTGCAGCCTGCTGCCTCCCTGCTGCCTCCCTGCGTGCCGCTCTGCGCGCCGCTCCGCGCTGCTGGCATGGGCTCTCTCCCTCCTGAGCAAACGAACACAAGGCACTGGCCTACCAGGCGGAAGGGGCCGCTCCCTGCTTTTTCGTCTTCTTCTGAGCTATGCCCTCGTCAAGCTGTCCTCCCCTACGGCCCTCCCCAGTCTGCTCTCCAGCCCCTCCCGCCGCCGCTCCCTCTGCAGAGCTGGAGTTGGAGCTGTGCCGGCTGCAGAGCCGGGTGCAGGAGCTGGCAGACATGGTGCAGGAGGAGCGGGAGGGCCACGAGCGGGAGCTGCGGCAGCTGTTCGAGTATGCCATGGCCCTGGAGGCAGAGGTGTGTGGGGGGTGGGGGGGCTCGGGATGTATACCTGTGGTGGGTGCCCTGGGCTCAAAATGTCTACATGGTGAGGGGGGATGCCTGCCTGCCTGTGGGTGTGCGGGTGTGCGGGAGCGGCAGTGAGTGCGTGGGAGCGGAAAACACAAAAGGATGAGATTGAAGAATGAACTGTCAGCAAGTTGCTGACTTTTGACGTGCCTGCTGACGGGCCGGGAGGCAGGGGTGGTGGTGGGACTCGGGCTGCCTGTGTGTCTGCAGTGGCAGTGGTGGTGGGTGGAGGTGGGCGGGATTGGCACAGCCCCGGGGAGGGAGGGATGCCCCGTGGGATACCATCCGCTGTTGGGACCGCGCTGATGCCTCCTGCTGGAGGGCTGACCAGCCTTTGCCATGCCTGCCACCGCGCACCCCCCTGGCGCCCCGCAGGTGGAGCGTGGGGAGCACGACATGCAGCAGGCGCTGGAGCAGGCGGCGCACGAGGCGGAGGGGCGGCTGGCGAGGCAGTACGAGCGGCTGCTGGCAGAAGCGCACGAGGCGGAGGAGCACGCCATCCAGGTGCGCATGCAGTGCAGAGTGGCATACAAAGGCACACATCGAAAAGCAAATTGCTTCTCGGTGGTTATGGATCCAAGCTGTTTGTTGCATCTGGAAAAAAAGAAGTGATGCCTGCATCTGGAAGTGATGCCTGCCTGCACCGCACGCCGCTTGTCACAGCTACCCCTAGGGCCCGCGCCCTGCCTCCCGCGCCCCTGCGCAGGCCTGCATGAACGGTCAGATGCAGCACATGGGCAGCGCGCTGCGGGCGGCGCACGAGGCCAAGGGGCGCTGGAGGGACCGCGCGCTGCAGGTGCGCGCGCTCCGCACTCCCTTTTCCTCGGCAGCCAGTGCTGACATGTCAGCTTCAAACCGCTGCCTGCAACCTGCTGCACACCGTGACGCTCGCCCTCCCACGGTCTCCATGCCGGCTGCAGGCGGAGCGCCAGTTTGGGCAGCTGCTGGCCATGGTGGAGGCGCGGCTGCAGCAGGCCAGCCAAGACGCGCTGCTGAGGCAGCAGCTGCGCCAGAACCAGCAGCACCAGAACCAGAACCAAGATCACCAGCAGGGCCGATCTGCTGCAGACGCGCCGCAGGCGGGCGGTGAAGCGTGAGCGGCGGGCACCCGGCTCCGCACAGCGCAGCGAGCAACAAGTCACAGCGGGTCGAGCAACCCACTGGGATTGGGGATGGATGGCACAAGAGCCCCCACACATCCGATCTGGGCTGCTGCGCTAGAGCTGGGCTGAAGAACCGCACTCCTGCAGCCTGCGGCGGCAGAGGCAGCTGTGCCAAAGAAATCTATCCTGCCACATTCCACGTCTCTCGCTTCTCAATTCCTGGCACTTCACATGATGAGGAACAACACCCCACACGACAATGTTACAGTGGATTCCAGTCACGGCGCGCACACAGCGAGGAACAACAACAATGGCTGAAGTCTCACTCAGCCAGGGCGCTCGGCGGCGGCTCCTGCGGCGCCCCCGCACGGCCGCCGTCAGCGCGGCGACATGAGCGCCACCGCAGCCGCCGACATGCCCGCCCCGCGCCGCACCCTGCGCGCCAGCCACACCTCCCGCTGGCGCCGCTCCAGCGTCTGGCACGCGGCCAGGGCCGCCAGCGCGCCGGCCGCCAGCAGCAGGCCCAGCAGCAGGACGTGCACGGTATCCAGCCGCCCCAGCATGCCGGCGTACACGCCGGGCAGGCGGTACAGCGCCATCGCCAGGCTGGCGCCCTGTACCGGCAGCGCGCGGTTCATGGGCAGCTGCACAGGCAGGCGGGCGGGCGCCAGGCTGGGCGTCAGTGGGCAGCATGACGGCCGAGCCAAAGGGCACGCTGTTGGTGAGGTGCCGCGCCCGTCCTGCTGCGGCACCCCAAGAGCGCACACACTGATGCTGCTGGTGTGGCACCACAAGAGGGTGCACACGCTGATGCTGCTTGTACACGCGCGGGCACCAGGGCCAGCGCCCGGCAGCCGGTGCCGAGGGGAGCCTGCCGCCTGCTCACCCGCAGCAGCAGGGGCGCCGCAAGGACATGGAGCAGCCCGCAGTGGTGCAGCACAAACCAGCAGATGCCAAAGCCCGCCATGCTGCCGCGGCCGCTGCCGGGGAGGTCGCAGGCGGCGGCGGCGGCGCAGGCGGCGGCGCCCAGCGGCGGCGCGGGCGGCGCCAGCGAGGCCAGGAAGACGGACAGCAGCAGCTGGGCGCCCGCCACCAGCTTCTCCCGCTGGCTCTGGTAGCTGCGGCGGCAGGGAGGGGCGGCAGCAGCGGGGAGGAGGGGCAGCGGCGGGGATGCTCAGGCAGATGGTGGGAGCAGGGGGCCAGCTTGAAGCGAGTCGCGCGGGGCGCACGGGGCGTTGCTGCGCCGCCAGCGGCAGGCAGAAGGTGCAGCAAGGGCAAGACGTGCCCACGCTCCAGAGCAAGAGCAAAGGCCCCGGCGGCGGGCTCACAGCTGCGCATCGAAGAAGTAGGGAGAGAAGAGCAGCATGGCGGCGACGCCGGCGGGCCAAGCGGCCTGCAGGCGAGCGGCCGCCGCCGCCAGCAGCCCCAGCACCAGGGCTGCCAGCATCGCCAGGTCGCGCTGCACAGGGGCCGCAGAGGCGGGCGGTGGTTGGCACAGGCGGGCGCGCCAGGCGGCAGGCCAGGCAGCGAGCGGTCGATTGCAGCCGCGCAGCCAACCATGCAGCTAACCAGGGCAAGCGCTGCCCGACCAGGCAGGCAGGCAGGCAGGCAGGCAGGCAGGCAGGCAGGCAGGCAGGAGGCGGGCAGGCAAGCGGGCAGGCAGGCAGGAGGCGGGCAGGCAAGCGGGCAGGCAGGCAGGAGGCGAGCAGGCAGGTGGGCAGGCAGGAGGCGAGCAAGCAGGTGGGCAGGCAGGCAGGAGGCGAGCAAGCAGGTGGGCAGGCAGGCAGGAGGCGGGCAGGCAGGTGGGCTCACCCGCTCCTGGCGGCGGCTGTAGTGGGCTATGAAAGCGCGCTCAAGGCCCTCTGGCTGGAAAGTGAGGTTCTGCCAGGGGAGGAGCGAGGACATGGAGGCAGCGCTGCCGATGGGGACGCTGAACCCGCCGCCGCCATTGCTGCCCCGCTCTCGCCTGCGACGGCTCCCCAGCGCCGCGGCGGGCGACAGGCCCCTCACGGCGGCGCCGCTGCTGCGGCTGGAGGCCGGGGTGGGGGCGGCAGCAGGCGGCGCGCCGCCGAGCGCGGGTGCGGCGGCGGGGGTCGCGCCGCCGCTGCTGGCAATGCCGCCGCTGCTGGCAACGCCGCCGCCCTGCCCGCCTGCTGGCTGGCGGCCTGCTGCCACCGAGCGCGGGCCGGCGGGGGTGGGTGCCGCGCTGAGCTGAGGCGGAGGCGAGGGGCGGCCAGGTGGGCCTGGTTGCCGCCCATCGGCAGACTGCGGCCGCCCAGGGCGCGGCTCCATGGTAGCGAGCGCCGAAGCAGCACCCGCGCCCGGGCCAGACCCGCTGGCGGGCGCCGGCCGGCTGTGCGGCAGAGCAGGGGCGGGCGGGGCTGCAGTAGAGGATGCTGCTGCAGCCGCCACCGGGGAGGACGGGCTGGAAGCCTCAGCCCCACCCTCTGCTTCATCCTCTGGCGCATCCTCTGCCCCAGCCTCCGCCCCAGCCTCGTCTCCTCCCTCCCCTGCCGCTGCCAGTCTCGCTGCCGCCGCCGCCCGTGCCGCCGCCGCCTCCTCCACCATCCAGTCTGCGGGCTCGGCCCTCTGCTGGGGGCAGCAGGGGATGCCCGGGTTGGCGGGGGGCGGCGGCGGGCCCAAGGCCGGCAGCAGGTCTGCAGCCTCGGTGTCGGCAGCCTGCAGAGCGGGAGGGCGCTGGAAAGCGTGACATGGTGCCGAGGCCAGCGCCGGCTGGCTGTCTGCAGCCCCGCCGCAGCTCGCGCCAGCGCGGCGGCCGGTGCAGGCGAGCGGGTTTCTGGGACAAACTCAGGGCACAACCACACTCGGCGCAGCCAGCATACCTGCCATCACCACCCACCCCCACCCCCTGCCCCTGACTGCCCGCCACCGATGCCTAACAACAACGCGACACTCGCACCGATGCCTGCACCATACCAGGCGCCAGGCAGCAGGCGGCAGGCGGCAGCCGCGCCTCACCAGGTGCTGCGCGTCCTCAAACCCAAACAGGTCCTCGATGCCCTCCTCCCCCTCCGACCCCGCATCCTCCTCCCCCATCCCCAGCTCCTCCTGCGCGTCCGCCTCGCTGGGCAGCAGGCCGGCGGCCTCCAGGGAGGAAAGCAGCATGGAGATGTGGGGTCCCACGTGGCGCCCCGTCCGCGCAGCCAGGTCCAGCAGCAGGTGCATGGAGCTGCACGCAGGCGGCGGGGGGCAGGGAGGGGGGCAGAGAGGGAGGGTGGGCAGGGTGGGGTGGGGACACAGGGGCGGGGAGGGGCGCCGCCGCGCGCGCAGGCCCCAGGCGGCCAGGCCGGCACTGGTCGGTGGGCGCCGATTGGCGGCCCGGCTGCTGCATGCCCGCCCCCGGCTGCCCGCGGCTCACTCTTGGGTCAGCGCCGCCTGCCCCGCCGCCGTCAGCGCGCCAAAGGTGGGGTGGAAGGCGGGGTTCTGCGGCACGGGCAGCGGCGCGCCCTCCCACTGCGCCCCCGCGCGCGGCGGCCAGTAAAAGGGCATGGAGACGACGCTGAGCGCGGCGCAGCCCTCTCGCTGGTACAAGTCTTCTTGGTCCCACAGCGGGCTGCGCCTGCGGCGGGATGAGCGGGATGGGGTGCAGGTGGCGGCGGGGTGGGCGGCGGGGTGGGCGGCGCGGCGCGGGCGCAAGCGGCAGCCACGGCTGCGGTGCAGGCGCGGAGGTCCGGGCCGGCGTGCTGGTGCGCGGCGTGCTGCCGACGTGCTCACTTGTCCTGGCGCACCACCACCACGGGGTTGTTCTGAAGGACGGCGGCGGCGGCGGCGGTGGGGTGGATGGGCACGTAGCTGGCGTGCGTGCGGCCCTCCTGGGCCAGCTGCACGGTGATGCTGAGCATCACCTTGTTCTGTAGACCGAAGGAGAGCCTGCGGCAGAGGCGGGGGAGGGCGGGATGGTCCGCGGGCAGCGTTGAGCGGGGTTTCCGCCCCCCTGCAGCGTTGCACCACCCCCACGCATGCGCACCTGAGCAGCTGGCAGTCGGGGAACAGCTCCCTGAGCTGCACGAACGCCTCGCTGTGCAGCGCGGAACGGCTGCAGGCCGCCGCGAGGTGCGAGGCTATGCCGTCGTCCATGGTGCGGCCATTCACAGCTCAACGGACTGTTGGAGAAAATAACATAACATGGGGAGCCCAGCAAGCACCCCATGACTGAAGGCCAGACGTGCTGGAGCTGTGCTGACGGCATCGATGCCTTGCATGTGAGGAGGAGCCACTGGGTGATATGAACTCCTTTGGCTCGCTGTGATCCGGAGCAGGGAGAAATGAACTGTGGCTTGGGGGTGTTGCTTGCTTGCTCCTGGCCGGTCGTGAGTGGCGGTGCGCCGTGGTCAGGAGCCAGCGATGGAGCCTTCTACGCTGCCTTGCAGAGCCCGCTGCCGTGCCTGGCCACCTGGCCGTGAGTTTGAAACTGCTCCCTTGATGCCTCCATCCATCATTGCTCTCAAACCAGGGCGGGCCGCCGCCAATCTCTGTGTGGGATTGGCGGGATCCGCCGCCACCAGTGGTCTTCTGCCCCGGATCATCGGATCATTGATGTTGCCGATCCCACATCTGTGCGTCTGCAGTAAAGTTGAATGCAGCCGGATGCATGAGGGCCCCGGAGCGCGCGGCTTGGCCAGCGCGGCCCATGACGTCAAACCGAGCCCTCTGCAGCATCACATGCTCCGACCTGCATTCAACGCCCAATTCTTCCATCCGGACGCTCTGTCAACCGAGGGACACGCACCCCAAAATTTTACCTCGGGCCCTCCCCCCCGAAGAGAAACGCTTGCCCACCCAGCCCCAGACCCACCTGTTATACGGCCCAGAGATCACCACCCAACGCCTGAAACGACGCCTCAACACTCAAGCTGCCCACATTCCGAAGCGCCACAGAGATGGTCGGCCCGCGGGCTTGGGCGTTGGTGCCCCTAGCCATTATGTCGCTCTCCTTTATCGCGGGTGAGCGGGGGAAGGGTGGGGCTGGCCTTGGGTAGCTGGGCTGGCGGGCGCATGTGGGTCGCGCTGTGCGGTTGCCAAATTCTGCGCCCTGCATAAGTATGCGATGCACGGCGTGCTTGCAGGCACCCACGCCGCCCTGGCGCCGGGCAACTACACCCTGCGCCTGCCCGGTCGGTCCGGCTGCACCGCTCGAGGTGACCGCCGCCGCCGCCGCCACTTATGCATTCCTTGCCTGCCAGCTGCTGCAGCCCCTCCCCTGCTGCGGCAGAGGCTGTGGACCAAACCCGCAAGCTCACGGCAGCTTGTTGTCGCGGCAACCTTGCAGTCACAGAGCTGCGGCACACCCCGACAGGCTCACCCTCCCGCCTGCTTGACCTGCCATGCAGGCTTCCTGTCCGCCCGCGCCTGCTCGCACCCCTTCCCCAAGACGGTCACCCTGACCCCCGAGCTCACCCTCTCCGCCGGCACGGGGCTCCAGGTGTGGCAGCTGCAGCCGGTGGCGGCCGGAGTCACTGCCATCAAGAACACCACTAAGGTTTATCTCAAGGTGGGGCTGCCATGGTGCCGTGGTGCCATGCGCCGTGGTGCCATGCGCCCGCCTGCATGCCATGCGCCCGCCCAAGGGCAAGCTGCTTGCAGCCTGCGAGCCAGTGCAGCGAGGCAGCTGAGTGATGAGGCCAGGGGTGCCCAGCGGTGCGGCGCTGCGCTGAGTGGGGCACTCACTGCATGCTTTCTGCCGCCACTGGAGTGCAGGTGGGGCGCCCCGCCTGCGGCGGCAACTCCTACGCCACCTCCTTCCTCTCCTGCACCGGCCTGTCCCTATCGGCGCCGGTCGCCGGCAGCGCGCGGCAGCAGTGGCTGGTGGAGGCCTGGGGCGCCACGTACCGCCTGCGTCCCGCCGCCTGCCCCGGGGTGTACCTCGGCTTCAGCAGCGCCGACTGCAGCAAGGCCACAGCGGCGCTGCTGTCGGTGGGCACAGGCAAGGCAGTGGCTTTCAGTTTCGCCAGGCAAGACGAGCCGGCGCCCAGCCCGCCGCCGCCCAGCCCCTCCCCCCCCACGCCCTCGCCCTCGCCCTCGCCGCCGCCGCCCTCCCCCCCGCCAGAGTCTCCCCCACCCACGGACGACGATAGGTAGCTAGGCTGGGCTAGGCTAGGCTAGGCTGGGCTGGGTGGCAGATCAGTAGCAGAGTAGTAGAGGCAGGGCCTGGATAGCGCAGTTTTGGTCCCTCCCGCCTCGGCGGCAGCCTGGCTACTTTGCCTAGTGTTGCCCTCCTGCCCTCCATCTACCTGCCTGCCTGCCCGCCCACCCGTGCCCCCATTCCCATCCCTTCTGCCTGCAGCATTAAGCCGCCTGTCGTGCCGCCGGCCAAGGGAGTGACGGTGACTCTGGTCAAGAGCCAGGTGTGGGGCAACGGCGACCCTCGCGGCACGCCCTACAACACATCTTTCGAGGTGCGCTGCCGAAGATTCGTGCTGATCCCCGTATCAAAGCTGGGCGCGGTGGCAGGGCAGGGGCCCGGTGCGCCGGCTGCCCCCTGCGCAGGCAGGCCTGAATGGTGAAGGCGCCGGCTGCCCGCTGCCAGCACACTGGCATCCTCACTGACACCTGTGTCCTTTCCACCTCCATCCTTTCCACCTCCATCCTTTCCACCCCACCCCACGCGCAGGCCAGCTTCTCCATCAAGAACTCAAACGCCTTCTACATCCTCAACTGGCGCCTGCACTTCAGCCTGGTGGGCTGGAGCAGCTTCACGTGGGGCCCCTCGGACACAGACCTCAAGTACGCGGGCACCAAGACCAATGCGCAGGTTGGCGGGCGGCGGTGGTGGTGTGTGTGCTGACGAGAATCTTGTTCCGTCGGCAAGGTTGTGTTCTGTTAGTGAGGTCTCGTTTTGTTGGCGAGGGCGGGTGGGCTGGGTGATCGCAGCAGGAGTGCTGCGGGCGCCGCGCCCCCGAGGCCCACCCTCCTTACCCGCCGCCGCCTCCTTGTGCCGCCCGCCGCCGCCCACGCGCCCGCCCTCGCACCGCAGGTGGTGCTGACTCCCAAGGAGTGGCTGCGGGAGATCCCGCCGGGCACCACCCTGAGCATCAGCTTTGGCGGCCAGGGCGTGGCGCCCTCGGCCATCGTCTTTGAGCAGATCCTGCCGCTGCTGGATCCAGACCATGACATTTCCCTCAGCACGCGGGGCGCCTTCCCGCAAAAGGTGGGCCCCTGCCCGACAAAAGGGTGGAGGAGGGAGGGAGGCTGGCCCTCCTCCGCTGGCGCCGCGCCGGGGCGCCCTGGCCGCCCATCGCCCCGCCCCTCGCACCCGCTCCTCCCACCCGCAGCGGCTCCTCCCACCCGTGTGCCTGCCCGCCTTCCGACCCGCTCCCTCGCCCCGCGCTGTTTTCCCCCCGACCCCTGCAGCTCTTTGCCCCCTTTGTGGACGCCACCCTGTACCCCACGCCGCGCCTGCTGGATGCCTACGAGGCCACTGGCCAGAAGTGGTTCACCCTGGCCTTCATCACCGCTGACCTGCGCACCCGGGAGCCCGCCTGGGGCGGCGTCATCCCGCTGTGGAAGCAGTACTTCATGGACCAGGTGCGGCGGGGGCGGTGCCGGGCGGTACAGTACCGGCACCGGCACTGGGACCCGCTGTGGGGGAGGCTCGCCGCTGCAGGGCGACGCCACTCACCAGCCTGCCCGCCCGCCGGCTGGCTTCCCCGCCTGCCTGCCCACCGTCCTCCCCGCCCCTGCCCCTGGCTGCCTGCCGTATCAACCCTCGCTGCCTTTGCTGCGCGATCCCTGCGACCGCAGATCCGGGACATCCGCCTGCTGGGTGGCGACTGCATCGTGTCGTTCGGCGGCGCGGCGGGGCAGGAGCAGGCGCAGGTCCGTGTGGACGAGGACATGCTGGTGAGCGGGGCGGGGCCGGCTGGTGGGCTGGCGGGGGGCGCCTCTGGCCCCACCCGCCGCCTGCCTGCCCCTTGCCACCTGCCTGCCCCTTGCCACCCGAGCGCGCGCGCGCACGCGCGCGCGCACGCACACACACACAGCACACACACAGCACACACATGAATCGTCCATGCCTGCCCGCGTGGCCACCCTGCCGCCTCCTTGCCCCTCCCGCCTGCACACCTGCACACACGCTCGCACGCCCCTCACCTGCCCTGCCCCTCCCTTCTGCCTGGCAGCTCAAGGACTACCAGACCATAGTGGACCTGTACAAGCTGCGCTGGATCGACTTTGACATCGAGGGCGGCGCCGTGCTGGAGATGGCCTCGGTGCAGCGCCGCCACCGCGTGCTCAAGCGCCTGCAGGTGAGGTGGGCCGGGGCCGGGCGGCGGGCAGGCAGGCGGGGCCGGCAGGTTGACAGGGCAGCCGCTGCGCCGGCCCGCCCAACTTTCACCCAGCGCGGCCGTCCGGGGCGGGGCGCTGCGGCAATCAAACACGGCTCTTCACGGTGCCGCCCCTCCCTTGACCTGCCGTGCCCCTCCTTTGCCTCCGCCCTCCCTCCCGCCGCCCACGCCCCGCCGCAGGACGCCAACCCAGGCCTCGTCGTCTCCTTCACGCTGCCCGTGCTGCCCGTCGGGCTGACCGCCGACGGCGTCAACCTGCTGCGGGATGCCAAGGCCAAGGGCGTGCGCCTGGACGTGCTCAACATCATGACCATGGACTATGGCGACTCGGCGGCGCCAAGTGAGCGACCCCGGCCGCAGCCCAGCCCCGGGCAGGGCGGGCGGCCAGCTGCCAGCCACGCGCCGCCAGCCACGTGCAGGCGGCGGCTAGCTGGGCAGCGTGGCAGCCTGCTCCGCTCCACCTGGGCCGCGAGCAGGCAGCCCATGGCCGCCTCCCATGCTGTGCTCGTCTGTGCTTGCCTGCCCGCAATCCACCCTGAGCCACCACTTCCCTCCCCTCCCGTCTCCCGCGCTGCTGCGCTGCAGACCCCAGAGGCCAGATGGGCGACTATGCCATCCAGGCCGCCGTCAACACCCGCGCGCAGGCCCAGAGCGTGGGCTATGACGACACCAAGGTGGGCAGCACCATTCGCTGAGCTGAGCTGAGCCTTAGCTGAGCCTGAACTGAGCTGCGCTGAGCCGAACTAGCGGCTGCCTGTCTTGGCGCATGAGCTAGCTAGCTAGCTATAGCTGCCGGGCGATGCTGTGGGGCGTGGCTTGGCTGCCGCCGCCGCCAGTTGAAGCTGCTGCTGCCCGCCCAGCCAAACATCTTATGCTGCCGCTGCGCAGATCGGCAACACGCCCATGATTGGGCTGAACGATGTGGAGTCTGAGATTTTCTACCTGGATGATGCGCGCAAGGTGGGAGGGACTGCCCACGGTACAGCCTGTACTGCCTTGCATGAACTGGCGTGCTGCCGCGGGATTGGCAGGCGGCTAGTTGCTGTGTGCCGGCTGCTTGCTTGCGCAGCGTTCCTGTGATGCTAGTAGGTAGGGGCTCTGCCAGCATGTGGCTGTCGTGAGAGCCTCCCTTTCCGCCGCTCCCGCACCCCCCCGCCGCCCGCCTGCAGGTCGGCGCCTGGGCCAAGGCCACCCCCTGGCTGCGGTGGACCGCCTTCTGGTCGGTGGGTCGCGACAAGTGGAACCCGGCGGAGACCTACGTCTCCATCCACTCCTCCTCCATCCCCCAGGAGCCGTTTGAGTTCACCCGGATCTTCAAATCCTTCGCCAGCTGAGCCTGTGGCTGACCGCGATGACCACAACTGAGCGCAGCTGCACACGGACGAATAGAATCTATTAGATGGTACCAGCGAGCGCTGAGCTGGCATCACTGAGCTGGCATGGCTACACGGCGCGCGCCACCTGACACCAACACTGAACTGAGAGCAGCAGAGCCAGACAACCCAGCCGTGAGAATAGATAGCTACTGTGCACTTCATTTTGGTAGGCGCCAGCATCAAAGAGCCCCCCAGCACTGCCCCCCGCACTGCCGCCCTTTTTCCGCCCGCCGCGGGCAAAATTTATTCCTAGATTGGTTTCTTCTCCTCCATTCCTTCTCCCGTCCGATCCCCATCTTGATTTGTACATTCCGTCCCTCAGCCCTGCCATCCAATTCACCCCCTATTTTTCCTGACTGAGAGTTACTTGCATGGATGGTCGCCCATTCCGAGTGCTGCCAACCTCGTGTCCCTTGGCCTGAGCGTCGCCTGGCAGCGCTCGCACACATGTTTCCCCTTGCGCAAAAAGCGTGGCCTCCTGCGGCTGTGATTGCTGTGCGGCCCCATGGATAGCCGGCCAGCCAGCAAATGCATGCCCTAGCTGCGCCCCCAACCCCAAACTGTGTGACTGCGACATTGCCGCTGCAAGCATGCACAATCGCTTTTTGTAACGAGCGACTGACCAAAGCACACACAACTGACGTACGGATCAACAGGCCCGCTTGCCATGAGCCGCTGCAAATGATGCCTTCCCTGCAGGGCTGCTGCGCCCCTGAGCCGTGCCTGAATCGCGAGACCCCTGCCTCCAGCCAGATCCCTCGTCCTCGCCTACTTCTCGCTCTTGCCGGCCTTGCTGTTCTCGGCCTCCTCCAGGATGGGATTCCTGCTGGGGTGCCCCTCCTGCAGCTCACGGCAGGCAGCAGGCAGCGGGCAGGCTCAGCAGCAGCAGCCACCTGCCAAGCAGCAGGCCTGCACATGCATGCGAACACGCCCCACTGGCGGGCAGCCGGGAGCCGGCAGCCGGCCAGGCTGATGTGCCAAACGCCCCCACCAGTCGCAAGCTGATGCGTACACAAGCACACACCTTGGAGGCGGGCAGCACGCCCTCCAGCGCTGTGGTGATCTTCTTGGTGGGGAAGATGCCCTGCAGCCGGCAGGGACGAGAAGGTGTTTATTGTGAGTGGACATTGATGGCTCGAGCGTGAGCAGCTGGAAGCAGCACCGATGAAGCCACAACCGTCGGGGCCGCTTCCGCCCGTACGAGTGCTGGAGGGTGCAGCTGCTGCTGCGCAGGGAGGTCTCTGCATCTGCCCGGCTGCGCCAGCATGGCAGGAGCGCAGTGAGGCCACGCTTCGAAGAGCACACAAAGCGGTCCAGCGGCGCAGCACAGCGCCCCACCCAACCCGCCTGGTAGGGGCGGTCGCCCTCCAGCATTCCTGTGGCCTCCGCGCTCTTGCGGCCGTAGCCCTGCTCCACGCCGCCGGCGGGCTGGCTGGACATGCCGCCCGACGCGGCGCGCGAGTCGTGGGAGCGCAGCTCTGGATCCCCCGCCGCTTTGCGCTTCCACCACACGCCCATGCTGATTATTACGCCGCCTGCGCACCTCACGGGCGGAAGATGTTGGGTAGCGGCGAGTCTCCACCCCGCAGCGACAGGCCTCGCGCAGCAAACTGGCAGCCGCACCCCCGGTAGCAGCGCGCGACAGGAGCCGGCCGGCCACCTGTGATGGCGATTTGTGGCCACTTCTCAATCCACCTGGCTGCTTGAGTGCTGGCGCTGACCATGGTGGCGGGGGAGCTGGAGGCTGCGGCAGGAGAGCCAGCGGAGGCTCTGCAGTCGGGATGCAGGGAGCCAGAGGAGGGATGGAGGCGTAGGGTGCAGCCCCCGGTGCTCGTCCAAGGCTGCCAGCTTCAGGTGGAAAGAAGGCTGGCGAGGCGGGGCTGCTCAAGACTCGGTCGCATCGGCTCACACACTCCCTAAACTCCCCCACACAATGCCCTCCAGGCGCCTGCCGCTGCTGGCGGCGCTGTTGCTCTGCTGCACCGTGGGACAGGCCGACCAGGCCGGGGTGCCCCCTGCCCTTCGCCTCTTCTCCTCCCCCTCTCGCTTTGACTTCCTGGACAGCCCGCTGTGGCAGGCACGCATCGAGGCAGCGGTGCAGGCTGCTCCAGAAGTGTCGGCATGGTTGGAGGAGCGGCACAGCTCTCCCACATACACGGATGCCGAGCAGGAGTGCCGGTGGTGCAGGGAGGAGCTCAAGGTGAGCGAGGGAGCGGCACATGTGCGTACCGGCAGCGACAGCACACTGGCAGTGCGCCGGCACGGCCCGCATTACCACTCCCACCCTCCCTGCTTGCTGACCTTCTGGGCTGTCTGCTCCCCGCGAATGCCTGCTGCAGTGCCAGCTCAAGATGTATGGCTTGCTGACCAGGTTTCTGGTGCAGTCGCGCCCCGAGCTGCTGCTGCAACGCCACAACCGGCTGGCTGACAGTGCAGGCACGGCCAGCCACCCCGCCGGCAGCAACCCAAACCAGTCGCTGGGCCAGCACCTGTCTACCAGCCTCCTGCACGTGCTGCTGCACCTGCAGCACAACCGCACCTTTGCCGCGCTGCGCCAGTCAGCGGCACTGGCTGAGCAGCTGGGGTGGCGGTGGAGCGGCACACACCTGACTGCGCTGGGCCACGGGCACCAGCCCTGCTGGGACCAGCTGGCCCTCCTGCGCGTCTTCATGCTCTGTGTTAGCTCTGTGTTACAGTCACCCCGCTATGATAGGCCGCGTGAGCAGACCTTGGGCAGGGGGCACACGTGATCAAGGGGCATCAAGAGAGGGGGTGGACCATGGAGCACCCTCTCCATGGCTCCGACCACCCTCCCCCCAGCTGAGCGTCCCAGGGTCACCCCACCCTGGCCCCGCTCCCCGTCCTGCCGGACACGCACGAAAAGGCAACCTCGGGTGAGCTCTCGCCGCTGTTGGCCTGCCTTTACACAAGCACAGCTGTCTACTTTGCAGCTCCCAGCAGTCGCAGCCAACCTGCCAGACCCCCCTCCAGGCCTGGCTGCGCTGCCGGGGACTCCATGAGCCCGGGATGACTCATCCCCCGGCGCCTGCCCTTCATGACCCGTGCACGCGTTGCAGACGACTTTTTGTCGCACCAGCTCAACTTTGGCGCGCTGGAGGAGGAGTGGCAGGAGCACCTGAATGTGCTATTCATGCAGTCCAAGGAGCATGCCCTGCCCTGGACCGTGGAGGGCAACCTGGAGCTCGCCAGCAGTCCGGAGCCCCGGGGTGGACACATGTGGAGCACCTCTGTGCAGGTCGCTGGCCCGCTGCAGCTGGCAGCCGCTGAGCAGCGTGCGGCCCACACTGCAGCGCGCCTGCGACTTCGACTTCCTGCGGCACTGACTCATTCATTCATTCATTCAGCACACAGCCCGGCCGCCTCTTGCTCGAGGGCGGCCCACTTTGGCCTGGGCAGCCCGGGCCGCCCTCCCCCCCGGGCGCATGTTCGGTGTTGGAGGGGTGTGCCCAGCGATAGGGGGCCCCTGAAGGCATGCGCCGAGGCCGGGAAGCGTGGTTCGGCGCTGCTGCACGCTTGGCGATTTGACCAGAACCACGTGCCGCCGAGCTGCGGGCGCAGTTTCCGGCCCACGGTCTACGGTCGCAGCCACGGGACTCGGCGGCACGGCGTTTGGGCCCAAGCTTGCTGCCGCCGCCGCCGTGCCCGGGGGGGCAGCGCGGCGGCGGCGGCGGCACGCTGCGACGCCCCCGTGCTGCCGAGCTGCGGCCGTAGTTTCCTGCCAGAAGCCCACGGCCACAGCCACGGGACTCGGCGGCACGGAGTTTCGGTCCACGGCTTGCTGCCGCCGCCGTCGCAGGGGTGCTGCCTGCGGCGGCGGCGGCACGGCGTTTGGGTCCACGGCTTGCTGCCGCTGCCGCCGCCGCAGGGGTGCTGCCTGCGGCGGCGGCGGTAGCGCACGTGGCAACCCCCCGCGTTTCCTTGCCTCCCATCCACCGGACCCCGTCCTGCGCTTCACTTTGTTTAGGGAGGGGCTGCTCACTGCTCATTGCT